TATATTGAATGAATGAAAGCTGACTGAGAAAACTGAGATTATTACTATTGTGACAACAGATAATACGCCAAGGAAAACATATAATGAAACACATAATATGGAAGGGTTGCTGGTGAATGAGTACGTTCCATTATCTGATTCGTAGCAGGGATGTAAGTCACTTACAGCGTAAGACCCATTGTCAGTCGCTTCTGGTTCTATGCTGCTACATATATTCCTGAAATTGAAATGTACAATATTACGCAACAGAGGTTTCTTTCAAATACTTAGATATTTACTTTAGCAAACAGCAATTTTGTTGAAGAAAGTTGAATATGGTTAAATAAAGTCATTACACTTGTATTACCTTCACAGTATCAAAACATACCACTCAAGATAGATGACGCATCACAGTGTGTTTTTTATGACTCGCTAAAATGGGAATCCCTTTTTTTCCCGCTTATATTTATTCTAGGAGTGCAGTTAGTAGCTGTGGCAGTATGATGGAGTAGAAGCAAGGGGCCGTGGCTTCTCACATTCATCTACTGAAGGGGGAAAGTTTCTTTCTGCGTACTTTAAAACTCCCTTTAACCTACAAGATTAATTTGGGAGTTACCAGCCTGCAACTAATACCTGTTCAATAGAAAAAAAAACTCTACATACGTTTAGCTTCTGCTCCTTTTTTTGATACGTGCGTTTGAGGCAGAATGAGTCACTTCTCCAATGAGCAGAGTTCCGGCACCACCGCTTACCGTCACGTGACATGTGATATTTAGACGCTTAGCCCTCATCTCTTCCCTGTTTGTGTCCCAGAGGGCAGCGGCAGTGTAAAATCAGGAGGCGGAGGCAACGCCAGAGAGATCCGGATCCGTAAAACCAAGAAGAAAGGGAGGAAAGACGAGGACAGCGACGAGGAGAGCGGCCCGTCCCAGCAAAGTACAGTCCCGTTTAGTCTCCATGGGGACACATTTGGCCTGTTCAGTGAGGCATTTTACTGTAACGAGAGCGTAACAAATCTTTCCCCTGGGTTGTTAAGAGTCATTAAAGACAAAGATAACTGTAGTCTTCCTGTGAGACTAACAAGCGTGTGTTTTACCTTTTTTTGCCAAGATCGCAGTAAACAGTCCGCCGCCCCCTTTATGGCCCAGGAGGATATCATAGCAGTTCTAGAGGAGAGAGTGAGCGACTGCCCCGAAGAAATCCTCTCTGAGCTGGCAGAGCATCTAGTAAGGTGAGACCCGGCCCTCTGTCCAAAGCTAGGCTCTCTCTCCTCCAACACGTCCGCTCACTGGGAACATGTCTCCAGGCCTTTAGCTAAAGCGTACCAGGAGGTACTGCGGGCGGTGTTCCTGTCGTCCTCCAGCTCCCCGTCACGGGCCAACAAGAAGCAGAGCATGAAGGATCTGCAAGAGGAGATCACCAATCTATTCAACAACATCAGACTCTTTGAAAAAGGCAACAAGTTATTCTCTGGTGAGGTCTGCTCCCGTCATAAAAAATTATTTGCTTGTGAGATTTGAGTGATTGTGACACGATCTTTTGAAAGTCACCCACACACATCGCCCACTTGATTAGCACTGAGAACTGCCGGAATTATATGTATTATTTTGAGTTTGTCTTGTCATGCAGATGAAACCCAGGTCCACATAGCCAAACACATCCTGAAGACCCTGTGCACCGACGTCACCAACATCCTGGTCAACTTCCTGGCCGCCGACCTGATGATGTCCGTGGAGAACCCCGCAACCATCACCAACGAGGTCGGGGGAAACGTTTCTGCACCTAGCTAGTAGCCTTGTAGCTTTAAATAGCAGTTTCAGACAGGGAGGCAGAGAGCCGAGAGAACATTTAAATCAACGTGGAGCTAATTGTGCGTGTGTGCGCTAATGTCTGATATGCACTGTGGGGTTCATTCGAGATCTCTGTGTTGCCTCAGGTCAGAGTGAAGATTCTGGGAAAGCTGTCGGATGAGACCAAAGGACCGCTCATGAAGCTCCACAACTGCCTTAATGGCAAAGTGAGTACGTTCCTGCTCGGTTCCATCGCCGGCTCCGACGCACTGAACATAGGCCTTTGCCCTTTGTCCCCTGCAGACTGTTGAAGACTTCCTGACCAACTTAGAGACCTGCGCAGAGGTGTGTGGCTTGATGCTGAAGAAGGGAGACAAGAAAAGGGAAAGGTAAGGTCAACGCTTTTTTCCCTGGATTTAGTTCAGATTCAAAAATGCTTCCATTTTGAAGTTGTTGTGGTTTTGACATGTGGGAGAACCGGGTGTCATCCAGACAGGCGCTGTTCCTGCACCGCCAGGCTCTCACCGAGCAGCTGAAGGAGGCAGAAGATCCGGCGCTGATCCTCCACCTGACCAGCGTCCTGCTGTTTCAGGCCAGCACCCACTGCATGCTGCACGCCCCCGGGCGCTGCGTGCCTCAGATCATCGGCACGCTCACCGGGCGAATACCCACGGTATGTCCCGACCCTCCGCCGGTTCATGGACCGGGCCGCACGACTGGGCGCCACGCAATTGAGGAAACGCGTGTTTATACGTCGCACTCGGTACAACTCGCGATGGATGAAGCGACTGCAGCAGACTGCGGGTCCACTTTGTGTGAGGGGAATCCATATTGCCATTTTACTAGTTGTAGACCTTTTCATAACTAAAGATGCATACTTCCTCTGGTAACACTTTGCAGGGCTGGTAGGAGCTTTATGTTGGTAGGAACCGTACGTATTTTAGAGGTGAAAGGATTGAAGTCTGTCTGGCGAGATGATACTGAGGATCTCCCTCTAAAAGCCCAAATGGTTTTGTGTGGGTCACAGTGGATGTAATGGTAGAAACAGTAGCTAAGTTCTTTTGGTGGCATCTTTGGTGTCTACTTCAGGAATAATATTTTTTATATTAAGTTGAAAGTCAAAACCCCTTATGGCATCAAGTGCAAAGGTGTTCTCTCCATTTCATTACACACGTCAGCCCCTTTTTTTTAACATGTTTGCATTTACATGAAAACCCACAAGAACACAACATGAGAGGCATGTTTGTGTGTGCCGCCGTTTGGTCCAAATGCTTCAGCAAACGATGGCCACGGCTTCATCGGCATCCAGTTTTCCGGCTCGTTGACGGTCTGTAATTGCGTGTTTGTGTGCGTGTGCCATTGCAGGAGCAGCAGCAGCTGCTGGCCTCCTACCAGAGCCTGGTGGTGAAGCAGCTTGTGAGCCAGAGTCACAGCAGCAAGCTGCAGGCGGACGACGATGACAAGGTGGAGGAGCAGGACGAGGAGGTCCGCGGCGTGCGCATGCAGCTCGCGGCACTCACGCCGCAGCTCAAAGACCTGATGCTGTCCCAGGGGAAGACGGCCGTCACAGAGGACTGATCATGTCAGAGATGGAGTGAGGGTTAATTAACCTCCTTTACATGTTAAAATGAATACTTTTAACTCAGCTGATAATGTATTTTTGTGATTTATCCATGTGGACTGAAAGGAAATTCCTGTTTGGGATGTCACTCTGTAAACATGTGACATGAAAATCCTCAATGAGGTTCTGATTTTTTCATGCATTGATTAAAGAGACTCAGTGTGTTATTGTTTATGGTTGGAGTAAATGAGCCGCATTTCAAACTACAGTGCTAGTTTTGTGGGGGTTTTCAACATACTATACTATTTTATGACACAATACACTAGAAGTAAGCAGCAGAAGTAAAACACTTTTTAAAACAACTTTTTTTTAAATAGTATGCTATACTTACTATCATATCTTTTTCAATTTACTGTAGTACTTTTTTAAAACATTCAAGGGTCACTTATTGTCATAACCAAACACGGATGTACGATGTAATACAGAATAAAAGTTATTCAGGCCGTTACATAAACAATGAATGTACCACATCGGAAAGCTTTACCATACTTTCATTTGGGCTTCATTTGATCGAGTATCATGTAGAGTCAGATCCCACCAACTTTGAGTTGAGTCCATTCCCCTTCACCCTGCCCTGCAATGGGCCCCTTCTTCAGAGGCCTGCAAGTTCTCTGGTCAGAAACATTATTACAACCACAAATGCCAATGATGTTTTAGACAATGCTGTATTTCCTCCTGGATATCTGTAACCTTAGCGTCAACGAAACCTCATTTTGAGTGGCTTTGCCCTGTGTCCTGACAATCTACTGAAACGGACAGTTGGAGGCTTTTTAATTGTATGGATGTTTTACAGTTTCTACCACATTTAACACCAGAGCAGAAATATTTATGTTCTTAATCAATTATTCAAACCTCAGCAAATGAATTGACTATTTTGACGCCAAAGTACAATTGCTTCAATGTGAGAATTTGTTTAGTAGATTTTCTATTTTTTGTTTTACTGACTAAATGATTATCTAACAATAAGTGCATTAAAAAAGCACACAAACAGCCAATAAAACAGTGACTGAAACAACTAAAACATTTATCAAAGTAAATTACAATAATAGCAAATGTATGTTTTAATTGGCATACACATTTCATTGTCCATCCATCCATCCATTGTCAAACCGCTTATCCTGCACACAGGGTCGCAGGGTGGTTGGAGTCCATCCCAGCCAACTTCGGGCGATAGACAGGGTACATCCTGGATTGGTCGCCAGCCAATCGCAGGGCAACACAGAGACACGCAACCATTCACACTCACATTCACACATCTACGGGCAATTTAAAGTCCCCAATCAACCTGATCCCCAGAGCATGTCTTTGGACTGTGGGAGGAAGCCGGAGAACCCGGAGAGAACCCACGCAGACACGGGGAGAACATGGAGACTCCACACAGAAAGGCCACTGGGCGGAATCGAACCCAGGACCTTCTTGCTGTGAGGCAACAGTGCTTTCATTTATGTGAAAATATCAGTTTGCCCATGAACATTTGTATATAACAAATTATTGTTATATGACGGTCATGTTTATAATGCATTTGTGGGGCTTCATAAAACCCTTTGTGTTTATAATCATGCAAGACCACTTATTACGAGGTGCAGTCATAATACGTTTCAACAGACAGCTACAATTTTCTCATTTATTTTCCTCTTACAGAATACTTGCAGTCAGCAAATACTGCTAATGTCTTCATAATTGTCGTAAGGCCTTTCATACAATTGCTATTTACCTTCAAATTTAGAAAGGTCAGGCCTGTTAATGTTTATTATGAGAAACTATTCCATTTAAAGAAATATATGCATTTATAAGCTCTCAAAGAAAAGAAAACATCTATTAAATCAATCTAATTAATAAACCAGCATTTATCTATCTATCTTCAATTTTGGGCCTGAGCCCATTAAGAATTCAGTTGTGTTGCTGTATGCTTAATGAAGTGAAGCTCATACATGGTGATATGTTTACCATATAACAATAACAATATGAATAATGCCTGAACACATCTTGTAAAAAAAGAAAACAGTTCTGACTTCAGGTTAATTTGTTCCTTTTTTAATACTTACAATATATAAAATATACAGCACAAACAAAAGTCTGGCAAATAGGTTGATAGCTTTGTGCTGAGAAGCAGCACAGGACGTTTTCCAGGATGAGGCCTCTGGGATAGTTCCATCAATCCATCCGTTAAAAAGATGTCCAGTCAAAGCAGTGTCAAGACATCTCATCGGTCGCTACAACGACACTACTGTCATCAGAAGGTTTCTCCAAATAAGTCCCCAGTAGGTCCAAGTATTTAACTGCCAGCCAGAGCCAAAGACTTCTGCAGATCCTCCAAATGGTTGTTGGCTTGTGTGATCATCATGCGGATGGCATCCTGAATGAACAATGAGGAGAAAGAAACTGAGTACGGTGTCTCTACACATATTCCATCACCAGGTAAGCAGACCATAAGTTCAGAATTGATTTTTTTACACCTTACAGATAGAAATAGAAGAAATATCAGGGATTTCCCCACCTGGACTGAAGGTTCCTCCTGAACACATCTACAGCCAGGATTAACCGAAGACAACATTTACGGCTGTAAGCTACATCCACACTACTGTTGGCCTTGGTTACAAAGGTTTAATTCAAATCGGAGAACGAATTACAGGCTCTGCTGGATCTGTCGTCTGCACTGGCAGCTGTTATGCAGTTAGAACTGCCATTTTTATTCTGTTAAGAGTCTGCTAAAAGTTGGCTGGGATGGACTCCAGCCCCCCCGCGACCCTGTGTGCAGGATAAGCGGTTTGACAATGGATGGATGGAATGGATGGATAAAAGAGTCAACACTGTTAGGGATTTAAGTAGAAGTGCACGCCTAGTCATAGAAATTATTGTACATGTAGAAATGTTTAGTTTAGAATTGTAGTTTGTGTGATGTTAGATATTACTTATTACATTAGCGTGTTAGATGAAGTGAATGCAATATGAATCAAACACAATTTATAGTCATGTAAATCATATAAACACTGTACACATCAACATTCTGTCACAATGTGATGTTAAAACCTGGGGACAGATGCTAATTGCCGTCCTTTATGGATTTCTCCCAATTTTCCCCCCAAAGAGGGTTTTTGGGGATTTTTTTCTCCTGTCAGGTAGTAGATGAGCAACTGAATGCAAGACAGCCGATTGAGACAAATGTCTTGAGAATTTGACCACATATTAGATCTTATGATGTAGTGTGACAAACTGTGATCATTATGTTGGGTTGTAATTAAAGTGTACTAGTTATAAGATGAAGACAAACTACGCATGCTTTGTTATATTCACTAATTGAGGCATAAAGCCAAATGTATCAACATTGAATGTGTTGGAATGGGAGTGAAAGATAAGACAGAGAAGGTATCAGATCGCAGCAGCAGCTTCACACCTGGATGTGAAGGGGACAATCCACGAGGAGACACGTTTGAAGGAGAAGCCAATGACATTCAAACGCACCCAAGATAGACAGACCTTAGGAGTTTTCAAATGACCAAGCGTGGAAAGGAGCCGCTTTGATAAGTCACTTTAGGCTTGCTCAGAGAATTCTCTATTTCGCGAAATATTTCACTGTTAGCATCGTATTTCACTGCAATCTGAGCAAGCATCAAACTTCCTATTTACACTGGCACCAGCATGACCAGCGAACATGAACGGCAACGTGATATCTGAAGTCAGGCGCTCCACTATGGATGTATTTCCTTCAGAAAACCGTTCTAGAATGAATGCCTGTGTGGATGTGGGGGTTTAGTTTGAAACCCTGCGTTAGTGTCGATGTAGTCCAGCTCTCAGGTAATGTCCTGGTTAACATAACTCCTGCTCTGTCCAACAGACTGACGGGGTGCGTAGTGGAGCACATTGTCTCTTTACCGGATCTTGGGCGTTCTTGTTCCTCTTGAACTCTTGTCTCGCCCAGTCACTGAGGTACTTCCTGTCTGCCTCATCTGGAACCTTCCGTATTGTCCTCATCATGTTTCTGTAGATCCCCAAAACCCGTTGTCTCTGTAAGAACTGTCAAAGAATTAGCAGTTAATAGAGCAGCTAAAACACATTTTCCTTTATCAAATCCAGCGGTTCCCAAACTCAAGAATGCCGCGGCCCAATTTGAAATCTGAAAATCTTTTGCGGCCCACCCAAACCTTTAATCACAACTCTGATCAAAACATAAACTAGGGATGATTAAATTACCTTAAGAATTTAACCGATTAAAAATGGATTAACCGAACGGATCAAAAATAGGTCAGATAAAAGAACAACACATGATTGAAATCATAAATATTTTTATATTCATTTCAAACTTATCCAAATTGAAAATTAAAAACATTTTATTTATTTATTGTAAATGACCTCTCGCGGCCCACCAGTGGCCCGCGGCCCACACTTTGGGAATCGCTGATCAAATCAATACAAAATATTACCAATGGCTGAAATAAAGGCCATTATTTCCATTTCGCAGCAACGAAATGTGTCTTGCTTACTGCCTTGGACATATCGTAGCCGGACACATACACCAAATCGCCCATTCGAAATTGGGGCATTCAAAAGGTTTCCGTATTAGTATGTTTTGTTTTTATGTCTTAACTGAGATGGAGAGAATGTTGTGGTCAGCTGTTCGTTTGCGTGCGTAAAGTTAGCCAGCAGGCTAATCCCGCTAGCAGGACATCACAGGGGTTGCGGCCATGTGGAATTACGCTTCAATTCAAAAAAGGTCTTTGGTGTGAAAAGCAGTCCAGCTCGCGGCGACACAAAGTGCAGCGCTCCTTTCATCGCCGTGTGTATTTACCTGTTTCAGAGAAAGCGCTGCATACGGTAACCTTGAGACTCCCATTTCTACCGGTTTCAGAATTGGATGTTATGAGCGCTTCTTCTTCTAATTTAATAGCGGGCTTCAACGTCTCCTATGAGGCTCATAGCGCCACCTACTGTACCGGAACATACAGAACGCATCTATCACTCACATCTATCACTTCATATAATTAGCGAATGGAATTATATCTGTGATGAAATAAACAAAAACAATATGGATAAAATGCTCTGTATCTATCCACGGCTTAACTGTCCAAGACGCTTTGATCAGGTTGCAGTCCCCACCGGAAGCGTGTTTTTTAATCCAGTTACTGGTAATGCAGAGTTGGCGTATTAGACCATCTGTATTTTGCTGAGAAAACATGCACCTTTTCCTTGGTTCATGTGTCAAAAGACTACTTTGTACACACTATTAAAGACATCACAATACGAGACAGACTGGGATATTGCCCATCAATTAAATATAGTAAAGAACAACCCAAAGCATCCATTATCCTAACGAGCCATCTGGTTTGCTTTCAAGTGCAAATGTTTAAATTGTGCGATAATAATGTAGGAGTAAACAGGAGTAGCGGGAAAGGAGCAACATACACACACACACACACACACACACACACATAAACAAACACTTCTTTCTGATCAGATTGAATAGGCCTAGTGTTGTTCCGAACAAAGTTAGAGGGTCTAAAAGGTGCACGTTATACATCTTTTTTAGATGGTATCCTTTCATTTACTTGATGTTGATATATGATCAGTAAACAAGTGTTTTCCAAAATTACCAAAATTTTATTATAATTGTCTGATATATAGGCCCACATATATATAAATTGCCATTTGATTCTCTCCTAATTTTGTGTTCTACTCGGCCGGGTATTTCGTCGTGTTTTTCCGCCACACCGCCAAGACTGGTCCGCGAAATATTGTCTAACATGAAAAAGGTCTGTGAGGCAAAAAAGGTTGGGTACCCCTGCACTAATATACACACAATGTGCAGAGAGTGCATGTTTCTTGCAGACTTATTTCTTGCATTCTTCACAGAGATGTTGCTGATGCTGGTGGGACAGACCTGGCACCTGCCACGTTTCTTGTCCGCAGTTTGAACCACTGGAGGAGTTACTGTATAGGTTTCCTTAGCACTTTACCTCACTCTGTGTTTATAATTTCTCTGCTGATGGTTTACAGATATGAATAGACACATATGTAGCTATGTAGTCCGTGTTCATATTTAATACGTTTGTTAAATGTGTAGTCGTAGTTAATTTATATTCTTTTCAAAAGCTTGCCTGTATTCAAAAAGATAAATAAATATATTTTTTAGGATACAGTGCTTTACTACTGCATCAGCGTGCCACTGCGTCTCAGCACATTAATGTATCAGTCTATTGTTTTGGGCTGTGTTTTTAACAAAACACGGATATTTCGGATGCATAATATCCACATTAAAATATAGTTCTGATTGAATGATTTTAAACACAGTCTAAACGTTGTGATGTCACTCAAGTTCAGATTTCTAATAAACAAGTTTATAAAATTCAAACGTCCTAATTTTTGATGTAATCAGTGATGTTCCCACTTGGTGTTCAATCATATTCATGGTCTGCTGCAGGGTTAGTAACAATTAATTGTGTTACTAATTAGGGGGAGAGTATCACAACATTGCATGATGAACAATTAAAATGTCTGGCTCTCTGTGTTCAACGGACCGGTCCTATTATAAAACACATCAACATGTAGAAATGGCATATTCCACTTTTTGGAAAGTTGCAGAAACAGATGTTCACAAGTAAACTGTATTGAATGGGCACACATAGACACATAAAACATGGATAATACCGGATGTTACGTTCCAGCTCCCAAAAGGGAGGGGAACATGACAACCCACTGCTCCGGCCCACCGGTGCCAGCAAAAGGGGTATGGAGTCCCGGTGCTAGAAAAGGACAAACACCAAATACAGTAGAACGCTTTTATCTAACAAAATAAATACACTTAAATAAACAATAACTTTCTGGGAAAAGGGGAGGGCTGGCCGGACCAAAACAAAAAGGTCCCCACCCCTAACCTGTACTAACCCCCAATTGAAAACACAATCTCTACCTGGCACACGGTCGAGGCGCCCTAACCAAACTTACAGGTGGTGGTCCGCTCAGATCTAAACTGGTGTTTCTAGACAGAGAAGTAAACCTACGGGTGATGTATACCCCGGGGTAGCTCTAAATCTACTCCCCACTCCCTGTGAACAAAAGAGGAAACAAATAATCAGTCAAATGACACAAACAAACAATTGCTCCCTCCTCCTGCTGCTACACGTTCCAAAAGGAACACAAGTTATTTAAAACTAATCACAATTGAATATATCCTCACACAGGGTACAAACAAAAGGCATGCAGCGCCCCGAACTGGTCCAAAACTGGGCTTTTTAGAGAACCCAGCCAGCTGTAACCACTGACGAGGGGGGTGGAGCTCCGGGTCCCAATCCTACCTGAAAAACACACACACACACACACACACACGCAACTACAAGTAATCCCCGAATCGGAATAATTATACTAACCCAGATTTCTGGGGACGTAACACCGCAATAAATAAAAACGATATATATTTAATAAAAACGAGAGCACGTACAAACACGCACGCTTCCTTAAATGCCATGGCAACAGAGCAATGACCCGACCGAGGTTATTTAAGGTCAGCGGACTTGCTGATCGTTCCATTTGCACTTGAAACGAAAAAACCTTTAAACCTCTTGTGAAATCAAACTGCTGAGAGCGAACTCTTTGAGATTTTAACAGCTGGACGAAATATATCAATACGAATCTTGTTGGAGAAGTGAACTACTAGCTACTTAACAACTCTAGTGGAGCACAGAAGAGGCTGAAAAAGGCCCTCAGGCGGCTGAGCATCAGGGAAGAGCACCTGCTGGAGGAAGTCAGCTGTGATTGGGACCTTTGGGACCTTCGGTGTGCAAGTAAGACAACTTTTTGACCCACTTACATCCTTAGAAGGGTACCCAGGTTACAAATGAGTATGACACAAGAGTTCAAAGGTGAAATAAAAATGATTTGGTGGACAAAGATACTCATTTGATGATTTCTCTGTGTAGAAGGATTATTTGAGGGATGTGTTAAATGTCGCAAGACATCTGTGGAATGTGTCAACAATCAGTGTAGAAGTTTTAAAACACTATTATTTTGGTTTGAGGGTGTCAATTTGTCACAGTTTAACATTGAAATTTGAGAAAAAAGATGGCGTTGAGAACACATTTCATGGAATGTTCAAATAAATCTAAAAGAAATAACGTCCATAGCGACGGCTGAGGGTTGACGTCACGACGTGCAGCCGTAGTCAGCCCACGTCACGATGGTTGAAACTTATATGAATGTATTGTTACATGCTGCATACACTATTTCTCTGATATTGCGCGATGTGCGCGTGCTGCACCTCCTCCACGCGCTGCGATGTGCAACTCATACACTGGTTGGTAGAATAAAGAGTGATACATTAAAGAAGTTCCAGTGGTCATCTTGGATCAATGCCGCTGTGTTTCACTGACTAGTTCAATGCATATCAAACACGTCCACACTTTTTATTACAAACCAATGACACACATGCAGAATAAACGTCTCTGTCCAGAGCTGACTGGCTGATTAGAAGCTTTTTTATATTATAAACACTACCGCATCTTTTGTCACATAAAACAATAACAGTAGGGAGGACAATACTTTTATTATTATTGTTATATTTGTAGTTGGTTTGTAATGTCTGTTCAGCTTGACAGAGGCAGAGCTGTTTCATATTACTGTTCAAAGGACATTCTTCTTATGTGTTAGTGACTCCTTGTGTCGTGTAGTCATAGTTATTGTGGTGATTTGCTGTCGACTTTATAAATGAAATCTTTGATTGTTGCTTATGTAATACAGAAATATAGAAGACAAGGAGGAGGAAGACAACGAGTCTGACTGGGAGAGCGAAGGATCTTGCTACGACGAAGAAGAAGAGGAGGAAGAAGATGAAGATGACCCTCTCACACAGAGTTGCTGTCTCATCCCCTCCCCTCTGGTGTGGAACATCAGGATTCTGTAGGTGAAGGTAAGTTGCTTCCCTGGGCCTTTTCTGATGAGGAGAAGGAGGAGGAGGAAGATGAAGAGGTGCCGCACAATTTAGACTTTGAGAGGGAATTGGCTCTGGAGGCGGCGAGGATGATACAGGTGGATGTGGAGGAGGAGGATGAGGAGGAAGAAGAGGACGAGTACGAGTTTGAATGGGAGAGCGACGACGAGGTGGAAGGAATGGACAGGGAGGAAGAAAATGAAGATGGCCCTTTCTTGGTTGTGACCAGTGCAATCGCCCCCACTCCCTTCTCATGTGGAGTATCATGAAGAAAGCGCCGACCCCAGTCCCCCAGATGTCAGGAGTGTACACCAAGAGGAGCAGGCAAGAGGACGACATGTATATTTAAAATCACTCATATTAAAATATTGTAAGGTCACGGGCGGTTCTTGCGGCCAGCTAGGGTGGAGCAATGCATGAGCTGACAAGTAATCACCATCACCGTTGATGAAAACATAGTTTATTCTCCCGTACCAGCTTTGGTTGACCACCTAAATAGCGTTTTATTAAGAAAAAAAAACACCCTCTTAGTAATGAATTGTAAAGTAATAGTTCCTGCTTTGACATCATTTCTACACACCACAACCGTTTGCTGGGCTACCATGTAATTGTGACACCATGACTCATAAGTAACTAACAAGTTTTTTTTCCGTGCAGGAAAAATTCCACAGTTATCTCATAGTTATGTAATACATCTTAAACAAAAACAAAAAAAATATGATAAGAAATGCTCTCCTCCACAATGACCGCCAGGGAGGCACCAGACGTCGCTCTGAGCCTCGCGCCCCTCCCCATTCCTCAGCAGGTGCAGGTGATCTGCGCCGAGTCACAGCAGGAAGCCTCACGCGCTGAGCGCTAATGTGTTTCTCTCTCCAGGTCGCAGGTTGCTGCCTTTCCATCCCACTGGGACCGTGAAACCATTCCCTGTTTTTCCTGCCATGTGGAACACGGGCTCAGAGAAGAAGGGATTCGCACGCACCGCTTCCGCGCGCTCCCGCACTCCGTATGGCTCGCAGTGATTGACGGACACACAGCATGGAGTTCCAGAAGAGGCTTTCCTCCTGCTGGGAGAGCTTTTTGCGTTGTTTTAAAAAGCCGAACCAGCCCGTGGCCAAAACCCGCGGGGACAAAGACTTAGTTATAGGAAATCCCGAATTTGACGGTCGTGATGAACCAACGCCGCTTGCACCTGCGATTCCCGGCGTTTATTACATCGCCCAGTACAACTACTCGGCGCGCACCGAAGAGGACCTGAGCTTCCACGCGGGGGACACTTTGGAGGCTCTCGATAAAAGTCACGGCGATTGGTGGTTGGCGAAAGCCCTGACCGGGGTCTCCGCGTCCCACCAGGGATACATCCCGGCTAACTATGTGGCGCCCCTGGAGAGCGTCGACGCTGAAGCGTAAGTAGTCCGTCATTTGTATCAAATTCATCTAGTGGTCGCTGATGAAGTATGAAGTTATTTATTTAGGTAAAACCCGGGTACAAGTTGGTTTTGTCCTGAGTAACGTAAACAAGGGTTAAACGAGTTAATGATTGTATGTCTGCGGGTTAGGGGATGTATGCTTACAGGTTAATAATTCCCACTGAGGTTCTAAACCCATAAACGCAAGAGGAAGACAAAGGGGAAACACATTTTTTAAATAATCGATAAAAGTAGTTTGGGGATTGATCACTGGAGGCAAAATATATAGGTCAAAGTACCAAACATATATTCAAAATGTATTAAAAAAAATATTATAGAATATTTTAAAACTTTGCAGATCAGTCACACTCTTTTTATTTTGTACAGCCCCAAATCGCAAATTTGTCTGTACACATGAAACATCCTTTGTCCCAAAACCCGGCACAAGGAAAAACTCATGTGTTCAAGGGTGACTTTAAATTGTACAGGATACTTGGCTATGAAACAGAACACGAGGAACTGCTAATATCAATATGAACTTTTTTAAGCAAATATATTATTAAATGATATATTATGTTAACTCCAACTTTCCTGTTATTCCATAAAATAAAAACTTTAAAAGGCATGTTTGCTTGCTGTTTGGTGAAAAGAATACAGCAGGGATGATGTTTTTTTTGAAGGCCAACTTGAAAGTAAACATCTTGTAGTTCCATTGAATTTTTGGATTATTGCAGAAAATGTATGATCCTAACATTAATTTCCAGCAAATACATTCCTTTACGATTATTGAAATATAGAAAGAATTCCCACAAGTGTAACGCATTATTAGCAAACATTAGACCAGGAAACAAACTACACAGCAATCAGCTGTAACATTCTTCTGGAAAGTTCCCGAAACTAGTTTTACTGCAAACACATTTGTGGCAGTATGTGGCAACATACCTCCACACATTGTTTTCACAAATGGAAGCTTAAACACTGTACGTCGCTGAAATGTTTGGGGGGAAGGTGACGTCACAAGTTCCACCCGTATTTGTGATGCGCTGTCAGCTTACGTTTCCCTCTCAGAGGAACATGTTTCTCCTCAGCTGTCACGCTGGTTATTCCCGTCTGGTTGAAAGGGTTAAGAATAGCTCGGATTGCCCTCCCTTTACGGTCACAGTTTTGCTGAATAAGTGTGACTGGTTGAACCGCAATCGGTTGCATAACATAACAATAATAAGTATGGTAATAAATCAGTTTTGGTATTCTAAGAATGTCCGTTAAGCTTCTGGTTAAACATCATAGACCTATGTAGGTGTACTGCATAGGGGGGCCTGGGGTGAGAATGGGGGGATTTGTTTGTTGAATTTTATTTTTCTAGGGTTGGGAAATTATTTAGCATTAAAAGCAAACGACTGAAATAATCCAAGATTTTAGGGCTAAAGCTGGTCTTATCCTGTATCTTATTCATTTCCAATAAGTCTCATAAAAAGACCATACCAACAATAGTTAGACTTCCTGACTGTCTACCCCGAACCCAAGAACATATTCCTATAAGTATACGTCTTAGCTGTACTTTTTAAACAAGTGTTGCTTAAACCAAAGGAAATATGTCATTCAGTGGGCAGTATTTTGTTGATGTTCATATTTGGTGGACTGATTACGGTATGTGAGACTTGAGTCAAAATGAACTGTGCGTAAAGTCATGATAATGAACATCGGTGGGTTGTTGCTCACTGTGGTTTTTATAGTTTGGGACAACAATGGAGCTCTATGGCAGAGAGGAAGTATGTACATATATATATTTGGAATTGATACGCACACAGTACCTGCTGGTGGATCCATATATTGGAGGTTTGGGACTGTCAGAAAGATTATGTTTGACTAGCTTGCTCCTTTTCTCATTGCTTTCGATTTTACAGATGGTATTTTCCCGACACGAAGAGGCTTGATGCCGAGAAGATGCTGTTGGCAGAAGGGAATCAGCATGGTGCCTTCCTCATCCGAAATTGTGAAAGTCAGCAGGGGGAGCGCTCCCTCTCGGGTAAGCTCTAAACATGTTACATTGGAAACTGAAGCTTTGAAGAAATTGTCCTCCAAACAGTGTCTGTGTTTATTTTGAAAGAAGAAATGGCACAATCTTTCTTTCAAAACGCTGAATTCAGATGTGAGGAAACGTCATCAATTCAGAAGCAAAACATATGGGGTTTAAATAGCGGGCCAGAAACTAATATTGGCTAAAGAAAACAATGGGTTTCATGTATCTACTGAGCATCAATTTGTTCAGTTATTGGAATAATCAGGAACTGTGTAAAAATGTACTCCTGATGTATTACAATAAGAAATTGTGTAAAAAAAATATAGGTTTTGAGAAGGGACCCAGATACATAGTTATGTATCTCCCAATTCCACAAATTTGTAAAAAAAAAAAAAAAAGAACATAAGTATGACCCATAACGACTTAACAACCTGTTTGATGCCACAGTATTTAATTAAGTTACCTGAGAATCTCTGTACCTTGATGGAATGATTAGCCAGACGGAAACAAAAATTAAAATTACACTCCTGCATCATTTAGCGCGATCAATATTACTTTCTTAGATGAAGTCATGCTACTTGGCCAGTTAGGGGGGGGGGGTGTGTGTGTGTGTGTGTGTGTGTGTGTGTGTGTGTGTGTGTGTGTGTGTGTGTGTGTGTGTGTGTGTGTGCGCGTGCGTACACATATTTCCAAACAGCCCTGGCATTGTGACCAATGACTCTAGTCATTAAGTTAGAGGCCTATGCGCTCTCCATAAAGCCACGTGATCACCTTTATCTCTCTCTAATCTGTCTTCTCACTTCGGCCTTGCACTTTCTTTCCATTGGAACAAAGTTCTTTCCATGATAATTTATCAAAACCAGTTGATGACCACTCACCCAACGTTAATTCACTGAGTTTGGGTGTGAATCAGACAAACATATTCATATTGTGCTAATTTTGGCATAATGATGATGGCAGTATTTTCTTTTTTGTAATTGTGTCCATTATTAATATGTGATTAACATACCAATAACACATGGTGTGAGCACAGTTTGTTAGCTGAAAGGGTTGTCATTCAACACCAGCTTACCCTTTAAAAAAATGTTGCCCAAAATGTTTGAGCTTTAAAACAAATGTCAGGCTTATTACTTGGGACCGTGTCCATGTTAAATATTACATTTCAATGCCCCATAATAGTATTTTGGGTAGCAATATACAACCATGGCCTCTCCTTCCTGATAACCACAACAAAAAAGTTGTAGCTTACTACAGCTCCTCGTTCTTTTGTTATCCATGTTACTTGTTAGTATTCTGTGCCATCATTAGCACCTCTCATCACTAAGAATTGCATTAAATCACAGTTAATAGAAACAAGCTTCTATCATGACGTTATGTTATATTGAAGTAGCAAGTCAAAGGAATAATACAAATATATGGTATCAATAAAGGATGTTTTACTTGCAATCAAATTTGCATCTTTAATAAGTCATCGTTTTTAGTTTTTTTGTGAACTTCTGTTATTGTTTCCACTGTTGATGAACTACTCGGTCCATCCTGTTAGAGCACTTCTTCTTTGGCATTCTTTGACAAACACCATGTTTTTTTTCAAGCCAGTGCAGCACTTCCTTATCCTTCCCTATCTATATTTGAGAAATTAATGGAAAACTTCTTTGTGGATAAAGGTAGTGAGAATGTCTCATGCTGTTAATCGTGCAAGATTGTGACAAACGTTTGTTGCCTTGGCCTTTGATGAAAACGATTTACCCTCCCTCCCATCCCATGACAAAAACCTGAGTGCGCCACTGCTTTCTGACTTGTCTTTCAGTGCTGGATGCTGGGAAGGTGAAGCATTATAAGCTTAAAAAACTGGCGAACGGTCACTACTACGTGTCGAGGAACCGATCCTTTGAAACAATAAGGGAGCTTGTGGAACATTACTCCAACCATTCCGATGGCCTCTGTGTGCGTCTCTGCGAGCCTTGCAAAAAGGTCAGACGCGCCGTCAGCTTAGCAAATGTCTAAATTCCATACATCCTTTTATACAGTATTCCGTCACATTGCCATCTCAATAAAGCGTAACTCCTCCCGTTCGTATAGATGGAGGCTCCACAGACTCACGGCCTCTCCTACAACACGGTGGACCAATGGGAGATTGAACGCAAATCCATCAAGCTCCTAAAGAAGCTTGGAGCTGGTCAGTTTGGCGAAGTGTTCGAGGGCCGGTGGAACGAAACCACATCGGTCGCGGTGAAGACCCTGAAACCGGGTACGCTATTGCCTCCTTTTTTGCTCACCGAAGGTGTTTAACTGCATCGTACTGTTCATCAATATGTGTTTGGTGGGGATTTTTCACTGTGGACCCAAGCGCTGGTGTTTCAGATAGCTTAATTTTACTGCAGCGAGGTTTTATAATCTTCCCCGTGTAGTCCTGGTCCTCCAGGGCCTCCCTTCATTCCAGCTGGGCCTGCATTACAGCCCACGCCTTTGTTACTATGCGTTCTGTGTTCGTTCCGATTCTAATGTCTAACTATTCTGATAAATAAAACGTTCTTTGTACTTTGACATAGCGTACTTTTACTACAATGCTATTATATTGTCATTATGTTATCAGTGGCATAAAATGGTTTGAAAATTGCAATAATATTGCAATAAATGTTGGTGCAATAATCGCACAACAACAATTTGATATCAGCCCTAGGAACCAGGCAGATCAGTGAGGAGAAGCTCTTATACGGTGGAGGAAAAATCAGGATCTGGGCCCGTCCACTGAAGTCTAAACTACAGGAGTTTCTTTTTTCGCCGGAATCAAACCCAATTGCATTGATTGCAATTGATTGCATCGTCTGTTTGCAAGCAAGCTTTTTTTTTTTTTTTTGAGTGTGGAAAAAATTAGTGAGCGTACAAAATATCGTATATAAGATGTCACAGAAAATAAAAGTTCCACTCTTAATAGACAGTCACTGTGCTTTTGCAGGTACAATGGACGCGGAGGACTTCCTAAGAGAGGCTCAGCTCATGAAGAGGCTGCGGCATCCTAAGCTGATCCAGCTGTATGCAGTCTGCACTATGGAGGAGCCCATATACATCATCACAGAGCTGATGAACAACGGCAGCTTACTGGAGTACCTCAATAGTAAGACAACCTGTCATCCACTTCCCCACGTGATTAGGAACTAGTAATTGCTTTTATGGCAGGGTTAGACTCCAACGTTACAGTGCAAGGGTCGATCTGCAGCGGAGATTTATCCCACTGCAGCAACGCCATGTTGGATTCTCACTTCATGATATTCATATGCTGCACATATTTCATATTCTTCATTTTATTTTGTCTGTGCCAGAAAGTAGCCTGTGAAGTTACCTTGTATACAATTTTTTCTCCCCAGTGTTCAGCTCTGCTCACTTTCCTATTCAGTTTATGTTTAAAAAAAATATACTGCTTATGTCTCAAACTTCCCTGAGAATCGGAATCTTCTTTATCAAATGTTTTGGGTAAAATGTTGCGGGTCTTTGTAGTTGGTGTCTTTAAAAAGTTGTGAGTCTATTTTTGTCTTCTTTGCATTGCTAAGTTATTGTTTAGTCTTTTGTCTCTTGTCATCTTTTGTTTGTGTTTCTTTGTATTGATTTTGAAAATTTTCCTCTTTATCTTGTTGAATATGTAGATGAAAGCCTGGGGGGATATACATTTTTTCCTATATCCTATTTCTTTCTCTGCCACCTATGATAACTTGAACATCGTTGGACTGTGACTGATTATGTGCCTTTCTGCTCGATTACAGAGGATAAGGGCGTCACGCTGGGTATCTCCCAACAGATTGAGATGGCGGCCCAGGTTGCCGCGGGCATGGCTTTCCTGGAGTTGCAGAACTACATTCACAGAGACCTGGCAGCCAGGAACGTCCTGGTCGGCGAGAACAACGTCTGCAAAGTTGCCGACTTTGGCCTCGCAAGGGTCTTCATGGTGGGTTTGACGAAGAAAGTGGTGTCGCATAATGCATGTGTCAGCAAGAGTCATAGTCCTCACACACACACAATCTAATTATACACTAAAGAAATCCATAAGAAAATTAAATTTGATCCAATATTTGTCCATGTTTTTAAGGGGTTAGGGTTAGGGTTATTTAATGCCCCTTGTTTTACATAAGAAGTGGACATCGTTACCATGACGTTGGCCATTGGTTTGTATACAGAGGTTCTAAAGTCTCTGAAGTTTGGCATTTGGGCTGTCAACTTTTAGTTTCCAGAACTAGAAGTGACCAAATGAGTCCAGAAAATGTCCACACACGGTGGTGAATTTGCAACATTTTTCAGCGAAGCCACATTCCAACAAAGGAAGCGAGAGACTGAAGAGCAAGCCGAGACGCACTGGATACAGTGATGTATCATTTCTCTCAGACAAACCTTACCAACACCAGAGAAAAAATAACCTTCAACCAATCCACACTCAAGCGTCATTTTGTGTTCTACCAGTTTTGGCTTCTGAGCGGCTAAGGAAGCTATCGATCATCATGGGTTTAGGGGCAGATCGCCCAACCACAGCCGGAGCTAGTTTCTCTGTTGCTCTGCCGAGTCCTGCACAAAAGCCTTCATCAATGTAAAAATCTCCTTACTATGCAAAAAATGCAAAATACTCTACTGCACGTATGTCATGGTTGAAAATCCGGTTGGTGCTGCATTCATTCTGGTTGATGGGTACAGTTGTCAGTCAGCCTCAATGTAGTTAAAATGGACAAAAGAACTCTGCATGTTTGTAGAATGGGGATTAGTTGATGCCTTTATTCACTTTGCAAAAGCTCAGAGAAATGTACATATTTTTGCTATGTTAAATTTGTGTACCCTGTAAAAGTATTCACAACAAAACAAATGTTGACGTGGCACCTGGCTTGGAAAGGCCTGAAGGCAGCTTGCATTGGTAGCACCTTTCCCACCTGCAGGCTGCCACCAGATCTTTGTACTGAAAGTAAAAATATCTTCTTTCTTCTGTTTCCAGAAAGAGAATGAAAATGTGTATGAAGCCAAAGAAGGAAGTAAATTCCCTGTGAAGTGGACCGCGCCGGAGGCCATCAACGACCATAAGTTCACCATAAAATCAGACGTCTGGTCCTTTGGGATCCTGCTGTACGAGATCATGACGTTTGGACAGATGCCTTACCCAGGTGACTTTCAGCTACTTTAATACTTAATTCTCCATTAGGGTTTTCTGTAAAGCCAAAGCACTGTGTTTTTGAGGGGTTTTAAGTAGCTATTAAACAGGCTGAAGCAATTAAGTCTCAAGCAAAAAACAAGTTAAGCTTTAATATCTTCTTTTATCTCCCCCCCTTAGCCATGTCAAATTACCAAGTCGTCCATCAGGTCCCCCAGGGCTACAGGATGCCAAATCCCCCCAACTGTCCCAAAGTCATGTATGACATCATGGCGGACTGCTGGAAGGAGAAGGAAAATGATCGGCCCACATTCGAGACCCTGCAGTGGAAGCTGGAGGACTTGATCTTTGACCAGGACGTGACCTCCTACGACGATGCCAGCCGCTATTAGAACACCAGAAAAAAAATCCGACTGAACTTTTTGCACTGAATCAAAATCACACAATGTACAATAATGTCTTTATGACGCAACAGATTGAAATGTGATTTAAAATGCCACTCCTTTTTTCCGGTGACATGACGGATTTAATATGCGGCGAGGAAGTGCTGACTCACAGCAGAACGCACTTTCGAACTCTTGCCATCGGAAGAGGCTTCTTTCAGCAGTGGAGGCCAACTGGCCAGACTGGTTCTTCCTGCTTTCCACGTAACGCACATTCTGTCCTTTCCTTCCGCTAGGTACCTAGAGTTGTTGTGTTTTATTTGTGAGCTCCGTTCTGTTTGACGTGTGCTGATCCTTGCTGATTGTAATCATTACAATTATTTACACTTACACAGAGCAACAGTAGCATTGTTTTGACTATATCTTGCCTCCTGATCAAAGTCACATTCCCTCTTAGCTCGTCACTGGTCTCAACCAGCTCTGTATCACTATACCCACAAAGCTGCAGTGACGTCATTCCTTTCTGCTCTAAGAGGGTACATTAGTTGAATACATTTTGTTAGTCTTTCACGTGGGGAACTTCCAGTATAACTGCTCAGTGCCTGACCAAAGTGAAACTGGATTTAATCCCTCATGTTTTTTGTTAAACGCGGTAGTGCTGCTCTCATATCTATGACCACGTTTTTTCTGACTATGTATCTACGCCATGGAAGAGCTGGCACTACTAATCTAATGACGACAACTACTCAAATGTATGAGCCTGGTGAAATATCTCATGCTCCAGTAGTTGTATATAATGCGGTAAGTTCAATGAGCATAATTTGACATTTTTACAGTGTTTGTAGTGTATTTTATAATTATCCTGTGTATATATGGTAAGATTAAATGATTGATATTTACTTCAATGTTTTATCATTGATTTTGACTTGGAGAAGTGCAATTGAATAGCTTGTTATTATAAATGAAGTGAGCTACGTCATACATAGAGAGATTTGGAAGGTAAAAAATGAACTTGAACTAAAGTTCACTTAAGAATTATTTGCCCAAAACCGCGATCTATTTATTTCGATCTATTATCGATTTATTTTTTATTTGATCTAACCTCTGTCCTCCATACCTCCATGGGCCCACTAGGTGGCACTCGGACCCACCAGTGGGCTGCTACTCGGAGGTGGAAGATGTAAAGTTTCTCACTTTAGACTCTATTACACGGGATCTTTGTCCATTTAAGGCCATTTTTATGTTGCACATTGTCATCTCTGACTCACAATCTTGGTCTGTTTGCACATTATTGACCTTTCATTTTAGCTATAGGTTTCTCCACATTCTGATTCGACTCGCATTGTTTCTGTCTGTCCCATGTTCACGACATCAGGGCATGTCTCCTTCTGAGACGTCTTCGTTTTTTTTCTTATTTGTGACACACTCAGACACTTGGTTCAGAGATTCTACCACATGGTGCAGTGGTAGTTGACAGCTGTGCATAATACATAACTACAATGTCCACAGGACAAATCTGCCAAGTTTTGATGTTGATGTGCATGTTTACACCTCTTTTTCTCTCTCAACGTGTCTCCTGTCTTGAGTGTCGGATTAAAGGCCAGAATAAAAATACATATGTTTTTGTCATTCCAAAAAAGTTTGACTTAAAAATAAAATGCATCTCACACTGTAGACTGCAGTGTTGTTTTTTTGCAGTAAGGGCTATATAAATAAATCTTAATTCACATAAAGGGAGTTTACTTTGGTATAGTGGTGCAGAGCATACACACAAAAGGTAATGCACAGGACATGAACTTGAGATAAAGTGAAAAACATTATTGCAAAATAAAAAGACAATAAGACACAAATAAAATGACAAATATAAAACTGGAATAAATTGTTCTGATACAATTTACAGACAATATGGACAAAAGTAAAATTACAATCAAGGTATTGTTCATATTGCAAAAGCCTATTTTTCAGTGAAGGAGTTTGCCTTTAATGCAATACTAGAAATTTTATAATTCATGAATTCATAAAAGCTTAAAACATTAAAGCTTAAAACTTTTTAAAACATAAAAAGGTTCATCAAATATACATTTGCTTTAAAAAAAAATAAAACTAATGTATTCTCTCAATTTCACCACACGGTGGTGCAAACACACTTCAGCATCGATCACACTGATGCTTCCTCCTGATACCTGACGCTCTCTCAACTAGAAAACTGGTGTGACAGTATCCCACAAACTTTAATGCGCTACTTCTACATTAGTCGTGTGTACGCCTACAATCCCTCTGATATGTATTCCTGCTACCCTCACTGTTTCTGTCAGAGGGCAGCGTGTGAGCAGCATGGAATCTGTGACCTTAGGGAGATCCAATTAGAATCTTGATAGCCTTCAGCCGTAGACGGGGATGCGTTTTACATGCGATTACTCTGGTCGAAATCAACAAGTCCTGAATTTGCGAGTATCGCACGATCACACTGTTGAGACATATGTGTGTCATTTCAAAATAATCTATTAAGGAAAACAAATGTTTACCACCTTGAAAATCCAAGACTGAAGTGGTGATATTTATAGCCAACTTGAGATATGCATGTTGCCAGAACCATATTCACTGGGGATGCTTCACAGATTGGTTGACTGAATAAAAATATCTTGCGTATTTTTGAACTCCAGAAACAATCTGAATTCCATCAGGTGTCCAGCTCAGCTTGTGTTCTCCAAAAACTCTCTTCTGGAGCCTCTTTAATGTTTGTCCAAAAGCCCACAAGTACTGCATGTTAGGATGTGCAACAAATTGAAATGGAGACATTAACAAAGAAGGTGAAGGTGCTAACTTAAACCATATAAGGTTCTTTTCTGTGCTCCTGACGGATCCACCTGGAAGCAGTTTAGAAGTGTTATAGCCTCCAACTGTAAGTGAAAGGTTGCACCCAGAGAGAGGTTATACAAAGAAACCTTACATGCTGCAATGGTTCCAACCAGTAACGTAGACAGGTTTTATCCAGAACCTTTCCACGTTCTCAGAGTACAAAAGTAAACCTACCATGGTACCAATAGTCATTTCTCATTGCCACTCAGGGGACCCTAAAAAGATTTTTTTTAAGCCCATGCTTTATCAACCCACAAAGACCTCGCGACCCACCAGTTGAGAACCACTGGTCTAATGGATCCTTTATCATACAGAGAACCCGTGAAAGCTCTCTCTCCAATCAAGGGTTCTTCAGAAGCAAACGTTTCTGGGTAGAACATCAGCAACCTGCTTTGAGAATTATAATATATGAAAAGATATTGCACGATCAATGTTGATCAACCCTGGGACACAATGGGAAAAGTGTGAAATGCTTGTTTGTCTCATCTTGATGTCAAGGCCCTAATAAATTAACACACCGGTGTCCTGACGCCTACACTGTCACTGATACCTATTGTGCAACTTCCCCGACCTGTTCTCCCTAAGGTCACCGATTCCATTGTGCAACTGCCCCGACCTGTCCTTTACGTACTAAGGCTTCAATGTTGATTTAGAGATAATATTCATGTACATGTCGGCTTCCTTGATGTGTATAGCTTCCTTGATGTATTTTCTTTCGCATTTTGCAAGAGTTGGGCTGGAGAAGGAGCAGGCAGAAGCCTCCTGTAAACCCATATTAATTGTCAAATGAAACTGGATGAGGGCACTTCTCTATTTTGCAAATATTCATAAAGTATTTCACATTGCAATTGTATTGCTTCTGTTAGTTATTAAATTCCTTATAATTTTTAAACTCGAGCCAGTTGATTCTTTTGACTCCTTTCACCTCTGGCCGGGGCGACGGAAAAAAAGTTCTGCTGTTAGACCCCAATAATAGTGAAACCTTATGAGGATCCACCTGTTGGAGAGGAACGCAGCAAAAAGACAGAACAAATGTGTGACTGCATTGGTTATCTGCAGCTGCAGACAACCGCAGCAGCTCAATAATCACTCACAACTGGCACTCACTCAAAAATGTTGACAGTGATACTTACAACAGGCCTTATTATGTCACAAAGCTCACCACACGCAGCACTGTGAACTCACTTTATTTAATAATCAAGTTGTTAAAGGAGCCTTAGTGCAACAAACAAGTCCTGATGGATCATCATTCATCGGAGAGGTGCGGAAGGAATGTTTAAAAGCTTCTTAAAAACATTTCACAGTGATAAACTATTTGCATAATTTGGATAATGAATGAGTACCATCACAAAATGATCCATCTTCCTTTTAGTGTCTCAGAAACGCATACGGCGGAAGATCCACCTTGGAAAGCACCTGTCTTTATCCATTAAAATGTGTATTTTTCTCCATTTACTATGATGCTTTGCAATAACAAGAGTGTGTTCTAATGCAACCCTGTAAAAACTGCGGCAGATTTTCCCCGTGGTCGTAAATTACAAGCAGACAACGGGTGATTGCCTCTCAAAGGGAAAACAAGTGGATGAGACAGGTTTAGTGAGAATTATTCAAATGAATTGCTCTTGTTTGCATAGAGAAAAGGGGATTTTGAAAAGATGGGCTGCTGAGAATGCGATCGGTAATTCCTTTCGCGGCCAACATATTTATGAGCCCATGGGTTAATTCCCCTTTTCACGGAGACATGTCAAGACTGCAGGCATCTACTAATGATTGACTGTGACACATTGCTAGTATATATGGAGGATGTAGGGTACATTTGGACCACTGTTGAATAAACCGCTCGATTGGACTGTGTGATTTACATGTTTTATGGTTCCATTGATTTTCATTCTTTGCATTTCATGAACGCTGTGAGAAAGACAATAAAACAGTATTGAAGTACATGGTGTTTGGGGGGGATTTTCATCATAACTTCATTGCTAGAAATAAAATAGGTATCCTCGACCCAAGTGATTGTCCTGGATGGGTTTTGTGAAGTAAGAACTTTTCTTTATACTATTTAAAACCTTCCTTTATTTGTTACTATATATTTATGATGAGCCTTTGGATTGGAATAAGATGTTGCAAACAGAGCTGTACGGAATTGAAAATGCCAACGTTTTCTATCTGTTATGTATATATGTAGATGTAAAATCGCTAGCTCTCTGCCTGTAACACAATCTTCAAATCTGTGATTGATGACTCCTATGAAACACATCTTGGGAGTCATAATTAACTTTGTATTTTTGTAAAGTACACAGGCTTGTTCTTCCGAAAATCAAAGAACCAGCAACAGTGTTGCTCATCTTTCGATGGACAAGTTTAATCAACACAGACAGTTGGCAAAGTCAGAGACAAAGGAGGTATCAAAGGAAGAAAACAAAATGTGAAAATAACTCAAATCCAAAGCAGCCTGAGTGCATCCCCAAATCCCGTTTGCACAGACCTATTGGACCGAGGGGAAGCGGAACTCTACTCATAAAACAAATTCTGCACATAAACACCTCAATCGTTGCTCTATGGGCTGTCAGTGAAGGAAAGCATTTTCAGGGATAGAAACAATCAAACCCTCGCCTTTCACTACCAGCAAGCAAACAAAACAGTTTTGACTATGTTTCCCAAGCTAAGCAAACGTAGTGTCTTAAAAACAGAACACGCCATGATCAATGGCCTCTATTGCACTCAGAGCGATGTGACACCCGGCTCACAGCCAGGAAGGCCACGTGTAGGTGTGCATCTGTTATCACTCCATGATGCGTTGCATTCTGCTAGAAAACCACAGGCGGTGTTGACGCACAGTGGAAATCTGTCATCCGCAGGCTTTGCAGTCCTGAACCGTCCTGCTGAGAGTGTGCTCAACAAAAGCTCTGATCAATACCTAATCTGCTCTACATGTGCATGTCTGGGTAAGGGATTGAGTTGGAGATGGCTCCAAACAGCCAGACTCTATCTCTCATAAACCCCCCTATGGAGCAATAAAGTTCTTTTCTCCACAAACGTGAACTTATGCAAGGTGAGGTGTGCACAGCTCACCCAGACAGAAAATGGTTATTAAGTAATTCTATTATTATTTGATAAAAAAGCGGATACATATATAGGAAATTACTTAATGAATGTCAATGAAAGTACTGTCTGGTTGGTGGAGTTTATTTTGCCAGTATCGGCTGGATTTTACTTAGCAAGTCTGGCCTTTAGATAGCCCGACTGATGGTTGGAAAATGTTGTCACGTGCAGGCCCCGTACGATGCCCTGATTTGAACAGGTCCCAATCGCCCCACAGCTGGTAAAAACATCTGTTCAAGCGAGCATACAGTGCAGTCGATTGTATGCAGAACAAAGTCTTCAGCCGCCCTTCATTTGTCCTTACGGAGACCACCTGTGGACATCCTCGGAGCCCTGCAGGCCGAAGACGAGGCTGTCCTTAGGGTCAGTTTAGCGCAAGTTGGCCGAGGCAGAATGTAATTATATTTGTGGTGTTGGGTTAAGTAAGCTTCAGGAATCCCGGTCCAGTGAGTTGGGATGATGGATGGGTTTCATCCCAGGGCTCCTCACGTCGATCCTTCCTCTCAGAGATGAATGGCCCACACTTGGAGTCCTGAAGTGAAGACCCTGCTGTCCGGGCCTGGACTGCCACATCTTCATCACACGTCATTAGCCGCGGCGGTAAACGCCTCGCTGTGGTTGCTGTTTAGATTAGTGTGGAAAACTGTGCGAGC